TTTCTAGGACATGAATTGTGAACAAAGTCAAAGCAATACTGCACGTTCTGTGGACTCCAGAGTTTAGATGAATTCATGATTTGGGATCAACAACAGTAACTTTTTCAAAAGTATTACAATGCAGCCAGTCCTGGGGAAAAAGAAAATAAACAAAGTGACATGAACAGTAGCAACATCTGCAGACCTGTGTTTCAGATTAGTTGATTAACACCTAAACTTAAAAATAATGGGCCTAATTCTACTCTCGGTTGCAATAACATCAAATCAGAACAATTCCCATTTACTTTAGAGGAGTTACTCCAGACGTATACCAGTATAAGAAATAGCAGAATTTGGCCCAACAATAACCAAAAAAAAAAAGGGACTGAACCGTTTCCTAAATACTTTTGAATCTTAAGGTGCTCAAAAACGCTAAGGAATAGTGAATATTTTTGCTATGCAGTTTACATTTTACACTATAAGCACTATGATGATAGGTTTGCAAAATGAAAGCCTCAAACCCATGACAGTCACCTGATTTCCACAGCTTTACCCATCACCTCATAGATCTTTGTTCCTGAAGGTACGTTCAGAAGAGACATTACAGCATCAGAAAACCCAAAATGGTTGATGCTATAAAGATTTTAAGATGCAACACTTTGTGAAGCTGGCCAGAGTGCAAGCTAAAAGAATGACAAAAACTCACCGAGACCTTTCTTGTTTTAGCATGCTTGCCAATAGATCACCGAGAGTATACTTGCAGACAAGTTTCTCTTTGTAATATTAATCCACCGAGGTGCATATCCTCAACACATTCTTGGCTAGGATTAAGAGAAATATAATAGCATCGTGCTGAGGAGTCATTTGGGTTTGCTGAACAATCTGTGCCTCAAAGCATTGAAAGATTTGAAAAACAGGTTAAACAACACCAGTTTAGTGAACTGTGTTTATTCTTTATTATGGATAATTGTTATTTAAGACTCTGTTTTTATTTAACCAGTATTTACTATTACAAATATACATGTGTAAGAAGAAAAAAACCATATATGTCACCTCACGGTCTGCACCCTCTCATCTACATGCTACTCCTTATGCCAGCAAACTGCTACACAATTCCTAGTGCATACAGCAGAATCTCAGTTAACAAACACCTCAGGAACAGAGGTTGTTCGTAAATCTGAAATGTTCGTATCACAGAACAAAACATTATGGTTGTTCTTTCAAAAGTTTACAAGTCAATATTGACTTAATACAGCTTTGAAATTTTACTATGCAGAAGAAAAATGCTCTTTTAGCCTTCTTATTTTTAAATGAAACAAGCACAGAAACAGTTTCTTTACCATGTCAAATCCCTATTTTAAAACTTTCCCTTTATTTTTTTTAAGAATTCACATTTAACACAGCACTGTACTGTATATTATCTGCTTTTTTCCCCTCTCTACTATCAGATTGCATACTTCTGGTTCCAAATGAGGTGTGTAATTGACTGGCCAGTTCGTAATGGTGTTCATAAGTCTGAGGTTCTACTCTAATAGAATAAAAGTGATGGAGTTTGGCCTGAAAAGGTACATCCTATATGCTAGTGTGTGCATGCATACGCACATATACATAAATGTACACACATGCTATGTATATGTTATTAGAGTTTGGGAGTTTAATTAACATTATTTCACGGTAGTAAACTAAAGAATTGTGTTCCCCCAGTAATGCAAGAAGAGTGTCTAGCAACATCATAAACCACAATACTCAAGTTTTGGGCGTTTCTCATGCTACAAAGTCCCCAAATTTAATTAGATACTTAGATTCTGTACACGTCAGGGACTCGTTCTTCAATAGAATACAGATTTTAATCAAATCAACTACCCCCTCTGCAAGTCCCATTTCTTCCTCCTTTCAATTCTATAGGTCCATATCCCTTCTCCTGTGTTAGCTATCCCCTTTATTTGTCCCTCACCTATTCCTGCTTTTCTTTTTTTTCTCCCAGCTGGTCAGGTTCATATAAAGCTATTTCTGGACCAAAGAGTACACGAAAGCTTTCTGGTATACTTTTCTAAAATCCATTTGAAACTCCATTGCATATGAATAAGAATATGAATATTTGCCATTACAAACATATTGCAGGTTTACAACAGGTATGCCAGGCTGATATCAAAATGTAGAGCCATTATAGTAGGGTACTTTATCTTTTATAAATAATCCTCTAATATGAATGCACCCAAAAGCCAATTATGCTGTGTGTATGCTTAACTTTGTGTAGTCTTTCTTCTCTCTACTTTTTACACCAAAGATTTAGAAAATATCAGATTTATTTTCGGCTATATCCTTATTCCATTAAATTAATTGAGAGTTTTAACACTGATTTTGATGGAAGCAATATTGGACCTTACGTCTAATAAATTTTATTCCTACAGACATATAAGCATCTGCATAACTTTACTCCTGCAAGTAGCACCACTGAAATCAATAGATCTACCCAGAAGTGAATAAGAGTATTTGCAGGAAAGGATCTTATATTTATATATTATACTATATTGTCATGCTTTAGTACTTTGAAATGATATATGACATTAACATGCATAAGAAATATCACAGTGTGTGTGCTCAGTAAGAGACTGCAATCTCATGAAAAACAACATTTCTAACCCAGCCCTGCAGTCCTCACACTAGTAATTATCAGCTCATTAATACAATGTATTGATGTTTTTATCTGTCACTGGCATAGCATAAGTTCTCAAAGATGATCCAGCTGGCCTTCTCTAGTCAGTTTCTCAATGATCTTGCCAAACATTTTCAGATTCAATTGACTTCTTTATTTTACATAATGGTTCAAATTATTTTATGATACAGAGACAAACATGTCCTCTGAAGGAATCATTAGAAAACTCTTTGTCATACAGTCATTCCACTATTGAGACTGGAAAATCAAATAAATTGCAGTTCTTCTAGTACTTTAGAAAATGCAGCTGGGTATATCATTACACTGGAGTAGAAGATGTTTTACCTGATCTCTCTCCATATTTCATCTCTTCATTGAAAACATTTTTGGCTGGGATTTTTGCTTTTGTTTCTAATCTTTGATTTGACTTTGAAAATTTTCTGACTCCAATCAATGAACAGTTTTAGAACTTACCAGCAAAGTGTGTATACATCTGATTTTTCTTATTAAATTTCAAAGCTCATTTGGTTATTTTTTTCTCTCCATATGACTCCTTTGTGGCAATGCTCAATAAAAATGCATTTGAATTTTTCCTCTTTTCTTATTAAATTAACTGGGTTGCTGCTAGTATATATATACAGCACAGAAGACCTGTAGCTATCTCTAAGGAGTTCACAACTCTCCTATCGTGTCTTTGCTTTGGCAGATTTACTCTGTAACTCTTCTTTCTGCTGCTGCAACTGAAAAAAATGATGCACAAACATCTAAGTGAGGATATTATTTGTTTTGGTTCACAGTCATCTTGGAAATGGGAGGATGAACTTTACCTCTACTTCAATATGTTAAATATATAGCCATGGAAGGTCTTTTACCTTAGAAAGTTTATAGGATGGGGGCTGTCATTCACTCTGCAGAGTAGGACTGTTGAAAACATTCTGTCAAAACTGTTTTTCATTGGCAAACTGGGTTTTTGGCTAAACACATTTTTATATATTTTTTGCAATAAGTGTCTGTTTTCAATGGAAATTTTCAATTTCTCATCCAAAAACTGAATGGCCACAAGCCAAAATATTTCAGTTCTGAAGTGCTGCCACAGGGTCTCATGGGAATTGTAATTCGAGTGCCTGACACTCCAATTCTCCTCTCTCCACACTCCACTCCAATTCTCCACAGCCAGACTTCATCTCCCATAATGCACCATGGCCATGGAACTCTCATGCTATATAACCTCCACTCAGCCAGAGGGGAGACTGTAGCACATCACAGAAGATGTAGTCCAACAAGGGAGCGCAGCCTATAGAGGAGAATGGGGCCTGAGGCACTTGAACTAGAGCGCCCAGGAGGCATTAGAATAGCAAAGAACCCAAACATTTTCCAACCAAAATGAATGATTTTTCATTTTCATTGATATTTTCCATGGGGGGGTGTGACGGGTTGGATCACAGAAACCCCCTTGGGAGCTGCCACCCAACGTACCAACACTACCCCTGTTCCTGTTTTCCCTGCCAGCTCAGGACTCCAGCACCCTGTCTTGCTGAGCCAGACACTCCAGTCTGCTCCAACACAGACCCAGAGTCTGAATCACTTGCCCCAAAGCTGCAAGTTTACCTGAAAACACCTCACAGAAGTATGCTTGTCTTTAGCACTCAGATGCCCAACTCCCAATGGGGTCTAAACCCAAATAAATCCGTTTTACCGTGCATAAAGCTTATGCAGGGCAAACTCATAAATTTTTCGCCCTCTGTAACACTGATAGAGAGATATGCACAGTTGTTTGCTCAGATACTTTGAGTAAATTACTAAATAAAAAGTGATTTTATTAAATACAGAAAATAGGATTTAAGTGGTTCCAAGTAGTAACAAACAGAACAAAGTAAGTCACAAAGCAAAATAAAATAAAATGCGCAAATCTATGTCTAATCAAACTAAATACAGATAATCTCACCCTCAGAGATGCTTCAGTAAGTTTTTCTCAGACTGGACACCTTCCAGGCCTGGGCACAATTTTTTCCCCTGGTACAGCTCTTGTTCCAGCTCAGGTGATAGCTAGGGGATTCTTCATGATGGCTCCTCACCCCCTTTGTTCTCTTCCACCCCTTTATATATCTTTTGCATAAGGCGGGAACCCTTTGTCCTTCTGGATTTCCACCCCCCCTCACTGGAAAACCACCAGGTTAAAGATGGATTCCAGTTCAGGTGACATGATCACATGTCACTGCAAGCCTCCATTGCCCACTTGCCAGCACACACATATACAGGAAGACTAACAGGTAAACACAGCCATCTGCAGACAATGGTCCTGGTTAATGGAAGTCATCAAGATTCCAAACCATCATTAATGGCCCACACTTTACATAATTACAATAGGCCTTCAGAGTTATGTTTTATATTTCTAATTTTAGATACAAGAGTGGTACATTTCTACAAATAGGATGATCACACTCAGTAGATTATAAGCTTTGTAATGATACCTTACAAGAGACCTTTTGCACGAAGCATATCCCAGTTGCATTATATTCACTTATTATCAAATCTTTATAAAACTATCCCAGTTACATTATATTCACTTATTATCATGTTTTTATAAAACCATATAGACTGCACAATGTCACAGGGGGAAACCCCTTATTTTCTAGTGTCGATGGGACCCTAGCCTGTCTGAGAGGTCTCTATGTTCTATTGCAATGTAGATGTTAAATTGTAATAATTAAGTCTTGATTTAATTAAAAAAAATACCTCAGACTTAAAAACTTTTACCAGTTTTCATATCAACAATGTGTTTATATACAACTAAATAAACAATCGAAAACAAATAGAAAAAATACTTAAGTAATTACTTAGTTGCTCATTTATTTTTGTAAAAGAGATTTTACTATATTTAACAGATTTTTAGAAAAATTTCTGGTAAGTACATTCAGCGCAGTCTACTGATAATATCAGAGCTTTAAAAGTTTACCAACTCTATAAAACAAACAAAAGGCTTTGACAATTTAGATGCAGATATGATTGTTCTGGAAGGTAAATTACAAGGATGTGTTGTCAAGTAAGGGGTCTGTCCAATCTAACTGCTTTGAAAAAGATGGAGATTGAGTTGAATAATGGCAGCTCACTGAATGTTCCAGTAACCATTATGAAAACTGCTTTGATGATTTGTAGTTCAGTATTTCCTGGACTTTTTAGGTAGTTGTCTTTCAGCATTTTGGCTCAGATTTTCAAAGATGCCTAAATAAAATTAGAGGAATTGGGCCTCCCAACACTGTAGGTTGCTTTGAAAACCTCACCCTTTCATTGGGCAGAAATAATCTGTGTCAGTAACATTTCCCAGAGTTTTTATTTCTTATCATGTTCTCAGTATTTCTTCTCATTTCTTACCACTTTAATACATAACTAAAAGGAAAGGGTCTCCTCCTGGGGGCCATGTTTAAGGTTGTGAACTATGTTCACATACAGTGTTATTTAAAAGCTCTGGTCTTTCCTGGTACAAGTCTGTGGTATATGTCTTAGAACCAAAGATACTGAGAGTTAAAACTAGTTTCATTGCCTTCCTGAACTGCAGTAGGACATAAATCAAGGGATTGCAGGCTGAATTAAAGTAAACAAACCAGATAAGAACTGGTGGGGTAATGAAATCTAGAAGACAGTCTAGCATGGTGCCTATAGTAAAGGGCAGCCAGCACAGGAGGTAGATTCCTACAGCTGTACCAAGTGTTTTAGCTGCCTTTCTTTCCCTCTTTGACGCTCCTAAGTGTAGCCTAGATCCAGCACTCTTGTTCATGCTGCTTATCTGTCTAGCTTGTCTGTTTGCCACAATAAATATTTTCACATACAAAGTTATCATTATGAGGCAGGGGAAGAAGAAGAGAATTTGTTGAACAGCAGCTGACAGCTACCAATACAGGGCATGTCTTGTAAGAAATGGCCCAAGCCTTCCTCAGTTGCATTGGTATAGAGCAAGAAAAAAGTATAAACCATGGGGACCCCCCACCCTATCACTATATAAACACAACCCACTCTTATGGTAAACTTAGTGGGGTAGAGCAAAGGATCACAGATAGCATAGTGACGATCAATGAAAATAAAACACAGATGAAATATGGAGGTCAAACAAAAGACAGTGTCCAGAAAGGTATGCAGCCTACAAAAGTCATCTCCAAAATACCAGCAGCACCGTTATCCCCAGGAGGAGATCTGCAAGGGCCAGGGAGAGTAGTAAGAAGTTGGTGGGGGTATGTAGGGTTTTGAAGTGGGAGACTGCAATCACCACCATCAGGTTCCCCAGTACAGTGAGCAGCATGCCCATGGCACAGGCCATGTAGATGGCCAGCTGGATGCCAAAGGAGTGAAGCGTTCTGGAGCAGGAACCATTTACTTCATAGCACAGTGTAGTGGACACCACTTCATTAGCACCGGGCTTCTGAACAGAGTTCATTTCTTCCTTACCAGCTGGCAACACCTCCTCCAGCTCTTCCACACTCCCAATAACAGGGGTATGACACTCTCCACTCCATATTCACCAATATAATATGATTATGATATAATTTTGTGGCATCTTGAACTAAGTACACCTTGTAAGGTATCACTCTAAAAGTCTTGATCCATTGAACATTAAGAGCCTGTTGGATTGTATGTTTTATCATTGTATGTGAAGTTATAAAGTTTTGCTCTGTATTTGTTACTGAAAGATGTTGTGAAGTTTAAAACACCCTCAGCTAGCCTTTCAGGTACAACAATGAAGAAGCTAGACAGTGCTAATGGTCCATCAGGAAAGACAAGGGACCATGGAAAAGGTTTGTCTCACCTGGGAGCATTTCAGCCAGCCTATGAGTAATGGCTGTTATGACTCAGCATGGTATGCAAGGGCATGTGACCAGACCACATGACACTAAACTCCATTTTGTTACTTGTTTTTTTCCACAAACTGCCTGGGAACTTAGCTTAAAACAAAGGGTTCCCACCATATGGAGAGACTATATAACATGGGAAGTGACATCATGATTTGTCTTCACTCTCCCCACAACTTAGCAACCGAAAGAACCTCTGGAAGACAAAGGACTTGGAATGGGGGAGAGGAACCCAGGCTGCACAGCAATTGCAGCCTGTGCCTTAAGACTCTGCAAGCCTGCTTGTATCATCCATCAGGTTGAGATATTGCTAATTGAAACCACAGTTGCCAACTTTTATGTGGTAAATAAACACCCCACTTTCACAATAAGCCAAAAATCAAGCTAATCCCATTTCAAAACAAGCCAATCCCTAAGAACCCCAACACTCTTTGTGACTAGATCCCCCCTGCGTGCAGTCTGGGGCTGTGGTGGGCCTGCTGTGCACCCCTGAATCTCTCCCCACTTTGCCCTGCTTACCCCGCTTTGCCCCTGCTTGCCGGGAGCCGATCGAAAAAAGAAGCAACAAGCTACAAGCCAAAAACTAGCCAACAAGCAACTCACAAGCCAATTAAGCCAAAAACAAGACAAATATTTGTGTTTTTTTTTCACAGGTTTGGCATGTCTGATTCAAATCCTATCTATCTAGTACATTATGCTTAGTTTCAGGTTTTGTTTTTTTGGTAGGTAATCTGCTTTGATCTGTTTGCTACCACTTATAATTACTTAAAATCCATTGGGACTTTATCTTAACCAGTGTGTATTTAAGTGGATTGTCTGGGGAAATCTCAACTTGGGAAACACAGGTTTCTTGCATATCTTCCCCACATTGAGGGAGAGCAAATTAATTAATGAGCTTGCATCATATAGATCCCTGTGCAGTGCTCCACTTAGGACTAAATCAAGAATCGCCTCTCCTCTTGTGGGTTCCAGGACTAGCTGCCCCAAGAAGCAGTCATTTAAGGTGTCAAGAAACTTTATTTCTCTGCATCCCGTCCTGAGGTGACATGTACCCAGTCAATATGGGGATAGTTGAAATCCCCCATTATTATTGAGTTTTTAATTTTTATAGCCTCTCTAATCTCCCTGAGCATTTCACAGTCACTATCACCATCCTGGTCAGGTGGTCAGTAATATATCCCTTCTGCTATATTCTTATTATTCGAATATGGAATTACTATCCATAGAGATCCCATGGTACAGTTTGGTTCATTTAAGATTTTTACTTCATTTGATTCTTCACTTTCTTTCACATATAGTGCCACTCCCCCACCAGCATGACTGTTCTGTCCTTCAGATATATTTTGTACCCTGGTATTATTGTGTCCCATTGATTATCCTCATTCCACCAAGTTTCTGTGATGCCTATTGTATCAATATCCTCATTTAATACAAGGCGCTCTAGTTCACCCATCTTATTATTTAGACTTCTAGCATTGGCATATAAGCACTTTTGTCACTTTTTAGCTGTCTCCCATTACATGATGTAATTGAATGAGACTTTTTTTCATTTAACTGTTTCTCATCAGATGCTACCTGTATATTATCTTCCATCCTCTCCCTTGAGCCATTCATTTACCTATAAACAAATCTAGTGTTCTCCCTTGAACCCCTGTTCTTTCTCTACAAAAACCCCTACCCATGCTCAAGTAAGTGCTCTGAAGCCTGGATCCAAAATCTGCATCAGTTCCATTGGGACTTCATCTTCTCCTGACTGATCATGCTGGGGGCTCTGTCTGTCTCCAACACTCCAGACCCTCAGATACCACCACCACCCAGGAACTCTGATCGATTCAAGCTTCACGGAGCGGTGAGAACCTAACGCGCTCTCTCTCTCTCTCGCTATAGCCTTCTGACCCTGACTTGTGTGATCAGTTATAGTTTTCTAAACCTGACTTTTATAATCAAATTTAAGTTAGATTTAATATTATAACTGTTTTGTTTATTTGGCTCCCCTTGTGTGTTTATTGCCTGGCAATAAATAACTTTCATGGTTAAGCTGGTTGCTTCGCTTTCTCTCTCGTGGGTGTTTTTTTGGCTTCCTCATTTGCTCTGCAGCAACACTCCTCATACCTAAGCTAAAGATCCCTGCAGCACCCAAAAATCCTGTGGGGTTTGTTCATCAAGTGGGTTACTACCAGAACAATTGTAATGTGAAAGAGGGGATAGGGACGTGCTCAACTTGGGGCATATGAGGGTGGCAGATTGAAAGTGGTGCTCGACCCAGCCTGCTCAGGTGTGCTCTATTCCAGTGCGGTGCCCATGGCATATGAGGGGGACAGCTTGGAAGTGCTGTTCGACCCATCTATATACACATATAATATATATGTATAACAGACATATAAGGGGTCAGCTTGGGAGTGGTATAGAGCTTTTAGTGGCAAAGTTATATCGACCAAGTGTCAGTTTAGATACCACACGGTGTCCACACCACTCCAAGGAGCTCACTCTCCCCCTACCCCACCTGGCCCCAGGAGGAGCTTGCTGCCCATCCTCACCCCCCACCACCCTGGCAGGAACACACTCTTACTTCTGCCCTGGCCCTGGCAGGAGCTCCCTCTTCCATCCCCCATGCCCTGGCACTGACAGGAACTCGCTCTAACTTCCCTCCCCACCTCGCCCTGGCTTCGCCTGGAGCTCGCTCTTCCCTACCTCTGTGGCCCCAGGGCGGGAGAAGTTATGTGTGCCTAATGATTACAGGTGGGGGGGAGGGGGAGGGCTGTGCCCCTGCTTGCCCCAACCTTGTGCACGCTCCTGTCAGGATGGGCATTGTGGAACACCTCCTGGAGGCCATTTGCAGTGACATAACCAAGTGCTTTGTTGATATAACTTTGCCACAAAAAGCTCTACACCACTCGTCTGGTGGTTTAACTTTGTCAGCAAGGAAGCAGGAGAGTTTTGTCATCAGAAGGAGAATTGTAGAGTGTACATCTCCACTGTTTGTCAATGAAACCTGACTTTCGTTGACAAAACTGTGTAGTGCAGACAAGCCTAATAACCACCTGTGGCCTATCTAGGAGTCTTTCATCATCCTCTGCAACACTGAGTAGGGATTATCTATTAGGATGAAGTGGGCATATCCCATGTAATCAGTTTCCCATAATTTCAGGATTTTCATTGCTGGATTTTAGTCCTTTTTTTTTTGGCATCTCCATTATTGTCTCAATATGCAAGAAATTCATTCCAATCCACATGTACAAGTATCTCCATCAGAATACTACCCGTATCTTATATATATCTTGTATGTGATTGAACGAACAGCGGCTTCTGATTTCCAGCGCAGTCAGTATAGACCATTTTGTGTAGGGTTACCATATTTTAAGCCTCCAAAAGGAGGACACTCCACGGGGCCCCGGTCCCGCCCCCATCCCCGCCCACGCCCCGCCCACGCCCCCCCACGCCCCAACTCCGCCCCTTCCCCAAAATCCCCGCCCCAACTCCGCCCCCTCTCCTGCTTCCCGCGAACATTTGATTCGCGGGAAGCCTGAAGCAGGTAAGAAGGGGGGGTGGGGGGAGGAGGCGCGGCCCAGTCTGGCCCCCCCGGCGTCTCCACCCTGGGTCGGCTCGGGCCCTGGGGTGCCGGCCCCGGGCCCGGCCCCCGGCCGAGCACCCCCGGCCTGCCCAGCACTGCCGGTCCCCGGCCCGGCCCCCGGGCCCCCGGCCGAGCACCCCCGGCCCGCCCAGCACTGCCGATCCCCGGCCCCCGGGCCCCTGGCCGAGCACCCCCC